CTGAAACCTCATCTATTGGGGTTATCGGAGGTCCTGCTCACAAATATTAGATCCATTTTTGACTTTCGTTCGAAAATTCGGAAGTTTTTCGATTTCCTCCATGAAATGGAGGATAAAATATGGCGTGTGAAGAAAATATTATGTTATTTTCGGGATTTCTTCAGGAATAGAGAGAAGAAGCCATGTACACACATCAACTTTATTGGACAAAGACGTTGATACACACAGAAATTCACCGTAACACTAAAAAAACACACATGTCCAATAGTGGGGGGGGGGTTCGCACTGACACCCCTTGAAGTGGAGGGGGTCCAAAAAATTTAGAATTTGCGCAACGCAGGGTTGATCCTGCTCCCAGTAGGCCATATACGACCCCCCTCCCCTCCCCCTTCACTCTGTCAAGGTGTGGAGGATTCGTCAGCACCCGCTTGACCCTCTGTCCGAGTTAACATCCCAAAGTAGTTCGTGAAACTCGTTCACCTCGTTCTGCCGTGTCCATACTACGGTGGTATCCGGCTAAAATATAGGAGGTCCGTATTTGGGACGTAATTGGCGGTTCTTCTAGCTTCCTTTTCATTTTCCAGGCTAATCCCACCTCCAGCTTCACTAGTGAACACTATTCCACACCAACTTTATCCCGAATCTTGCCTTTAAGTCAGGATTGTGAGGGGACGCATGCTGTGGCTCAATGAACTCGCGCAAATCTCGATAACTTGCGGATTCTTTACTCCAGCTCATTTCTATAATACGGATAAAATCGACCCACCAGTTGTACTGTTTTTATAATTTTTTTTGCTGTAGCTTGGACTCATTGCTACGTTTTACAACGCAGATCTGCAGGGATCAATTCTTATGAAGTTGTTCACCTACTCCTTCAGTAGATAATTTCATGTTGATCATTCACATTGTTCCACTATCACTGAGGTAACGTACGCAGGAATTGACGAGACTTGCGTCTGTGACGGATCGGGTCCCCAAAATAAACATGTTATGAAGACGTTCGCTCATCGCATCGAGTGGCATAAGCCAGGTGATGGCGTGTCAATGAAATATTCATTCGTCGAAATCCATGAACCAGCTCTTAACGATCGTTCATAAACGCTTCAACATAGAACCATGGTAGGTTGCAATTGATTACACTTGGCTATCATTTAATGTAATCATTTCTTATTTAGTTCGGTTTCATTCATGAAAGCATTCGACAGTTAATGGTAAGAAAGTTCGGAGAAGACTTTTGGAGTAAAGTCTTGTGAGTTCTATTTCCTATTATTGCGCTACTTACAAACCATAATCATCATCTATAACATGTGAAATATATCGCTACGATGCATCAAGAAGTTATTAGAAACCGCTCAGCACTATTAATTGGGCTGTCAACTACCATCAATAGAGCTTTAGGACAGGTAACGTGTCATCTCTCCCAAGAATCGAACAGAAACAGTTTTTCTCTACTAGCATTCCTAGAATTGATGACTGATGTGTGAACTATGAAATAATACGACTAATTAAGGGATATTCAGTTGGATCAATCTCTTAAGATTTCTGGAAAAGGAAGTGCCCCAGTCATTGAGACTAACCTGGGTTGCCGAGCCGTTAGGGGGGGGGGATTGATCAGGCTCAGAGACTGCGGGCTATTTTAAGCTATTGTTTTCAAATCATCTCAAATATTTGTTGTTGTTCAATTCCCAATGAATTTCAATTACTATATTTTGACCCGAACAATTTCAGATTGAGAGCAGGATTCGAACCTGGAAAGGAAAACATTGTGAATCACTACTATTCGGATGCCGACACTTACATCCTTGTAGATGCAGTTAGTGTGACAGCAAGTGAGGCTTCCATTTCTGCCGGCTCAATGCAGAAGATCAGCTTATCTATTGTTTTCTATTACAGAAATGACCAGAGAACAAGTATGGGAGATGTATGGAGGGTTTCTAATAGAGTACACAATGGAAATCGGTTGGGACGATCTTATTCGCTCAATGAGCCCGAACCTCAAGGTATCTATCTACTATTGATTATGTGTGAATATATTCCAAAAAATCTAACTCTTTGGGAAGACTTAGAGATAAAAATAGGAAATTGTGTGAAGCAAAAAAATGTGGAGTTGGATGTACTTCACACACAGTAAGGATTTCAATTTGCTTGCATCGGTTGTGAACAACCACCTTAACACGGCCCGATAGTATGTATCTGAACAGTAAGCATTACGGTCCACATTTTGTGCACCGGGAACGCTTGCTAAGGCAGGGCCAACGTCCGTAGTGTCGATTTCAAAACTTTCGCGGCCCCTCCCCTTCAGAGGGTATCAGAACGACCCTCTGTATCAACTATAGAGTTGTGCCATAATATCTAATTTCGACACTTCCATTTTTTTCACGTTTTTTTTCCTTAAAAACAACAAAATTTACTCGCTTATCACTGAGATACATCCATTTGCTATGGAACGAACCGATGCATATCTCCCAGAACAAGTGAAGCTGTGGGATGGAAAGTTCATAGAGGTCGTTTTTGAGGTGGTTGTTTTTACTGACTTTTCCTCTCGTAGCTGCTGCTCCAGGGCTCTAGGGGGGAGCTGTACGATGGAGTAATGTCAGGGCTATTCAATAGATGTGGTATCTTGGCCCAGCCAGTGTCCCTCGAAACGTGGCGAGTCATCTCTGCAAGGCGATTTCGGGCGGTCCTTCGGAGAAAGGAGATGCTATTTGGACGTTTCAAACCGTTCTCCCGCCATGCTCCGGCCAACTTCGGAAGTTATTCCATTGTTACCTTCGCACTGCTTGCCTGCATAAAGTGAAGTGGTTCCCGAAAGGGATACCCAGCGAATTCAACAAACTGGGTTAATATCCGCTAATAAAAGAGCTCGTGCTTGAGATGATCGGTTTATTCTGCGGCGTTGGCAACCGCGCGTGCAGTGTGCTGTTATTGTGATGGACTCGTGGTCTGCACTGGGGACCAACCAGGGAATGTTCTTTTCATGCGGTCGCAAATGAAACTCCTGCAGATGGTCTGCGTGCTTCTCGGTCATGTCACCAGCTGATGCACGCTGTATGCACTTCCGATTCATACCCCATGGGGTCGTCCCAGAAACTATTTGGAGGTCCAGGATGAGATCGGACTTTGCGGCTCGTATCGTCTTTGCCGATGCTGTTAATCCAATAGCTCAGTTCCCGTTTAGTAGTAAAGACTGGGACAAACACAGCGCTGATCTTGCCTCCGCGCTCCTTGCAAAGTTCTCCTTCATACTTCGTGAAGCACAATCGCTGGTTTCGGTCGATGATCCATTTCAATACCAAATTAATTATCCCGTTTCGCATTTGATCTTCTGAAACATACGCGGTAAAGGTCGTCTTGATGCGTTCTCAAACATAGCAACTTATTTCTCAATAACATTAATTTGACAGGAGGGAAATTGAATGTGGACAAAAATGGGCCAGGAATTGTGGGACCACCCAATATTTAGGTCTCTTTGCATGTTTTCATTTCCGTCATCGAAGTAAGACGCGTCATGAACATTGGATTATGGGCAGTGCTAAGCCACCTTGCTCTGAGGAAGAGAATCGAGGCGACGTAATACTATACCCATTAACTAGAAGGAACTCCTAACATTTTGGATAAACCTAAACATATTGAAAAGGACTCTTCTTTAGAAGCCTACAATGTTTTTTCTTTTGAACATTCAAGGAACAATTTTTTATAAAGTGAAAAACTAAACTTTTCAGTACTTACGGACCTCAGCTTCACTAATTCGGTGCTCATGGATTTAGAACTTCCTTCAATAGCGTTCTCGTGGGACAGGATACAGAAAATTGAAAGATGCAAATTGATTTCTTCCTGAAAGAATGAAAACTCTTGCGAAAATTCAAGTTCTCGGAAAATCGTCTTGCTGTACCGTTTTTTTCCCTCGCGACTGTTCAACATTCAAACGTTCTTAATCTGCTTCATGATCAACTTTCTGCAGATGTCCAAGGAAAATCCCAAAATAGAAGATGAGCGCCTTTCAAAATGCTTTTCTTCCTCACCTTTTGAAAAATAGTCACTGTACTGTTTTCTCTCCCTGCTTTTTTTACGGACATTCCCCTGAAATAGGAGTTTTTTGCGTGCAAACGCCCAATCTTCAAAATTGGTCGAATGAAAAGCAGTAGAAATCATCGGAATCTACACGATAAGTAACAGAGAGCTATATCAACTAATATAACTATAATAATATAATTAATATAACTTCATAACATAAACTGAAATTTCTGGAAAGCTTCGAAATGGAAAGCTTTCTTCTGGCAAATTTTCAATCAGGACTCGGAGGCAGGGTCAACCCGACGTTGTTACGAGTAACAGCGGGGGGGGGGTTCGTACTCAGTTGAGCATGGAGGGAGGGGGGTCGTACCCTCTCGGTGTCCTACAGTGGGATTCTTGGTAATATCGGATAATAGCCAGCACGTTACGTGTTCGTAAGATGACTGATACAGCATCTATAAACCACGGTTCCCTCTAAATGAGCCTTCAAATGAATCAGCGAATTAGAAGGGCGCCAGAGGCGTGGCGCGTACCAAGGCAAGGAACGTAGTGCAAGCGCATGCTCGATACTTTCTAGCACATCCCAAGTTGAACATTACATTGGTCTTCCAAGAAGTTACGGGCACTGAAACCTGAGAAAACTCGCGTTTTCGAGAAAATGGCTTGAAGAATACCCCACAAAATAAAAAGTAACAACGGGCTAATTTTTGAACTGCTGATCATTCAGAAACGCTTGGGTGCTCGTTAGAAAGCTTGAAACCTGTGGTTTATTACACCGTGTTCAGCTTCCCAAATGAATGAATTTGAAGGAAGTTATGATCGTTTAAAGGTCAAAAAGTCGCGGCTCCAAAAAAGTAGTAATGCAAACCCCCAAAAAAGTAACAACGGGCACTAATTTTTTGACACTTACTGATCTTCCGAGGAACGCATGGACGTCGATGCCTTAGAAAGCTTGGAGACTCTCTGCTAGTTTCTATGTAATACGTGTTCACGCAAGCTTCTCCAAAGGTGAGTGACTTTGAAAGTAAGTTATGATCAATTTAAAGGGTCAAAGACAGCTCGCTTGATTGCACAGAAAAAATAGTAAACAAAGTAATAATTTTATTAAAATTAATCTTTCAAAAAGACATCATGATTTACCTTAGGTGTTGGGGAGAGAATATTCTGAATTGTCAAATACAAATCACTTCGGACTGGAGCATTCGAATATGAAAGGAAGTTAGTAGGCCTTAGATACAAAATGAGGGCGTGTAAAACAAGTTGTGTTGCAAGTGAAAGGAACGTGAAAGCATTTCAACTATTTCAAATTGAGCCCGAATAATTTGTTCTGACTTCCCTTATAAGTTAATTTATCAGTAATGTTGTCAAGTATTTCTTCCGGTCACTGGGCTCAGGTATATTTCATCTCCTAGTTTAGGTCAACCTTTGGATACACGCGACATTTTGAATGACCATCTCACTTTCAGTGGTTTGCAAGCAAGCGAGGAAATTTCCTGTGTGGATTTTGCCAATAGTTTCATCCGTCTAATATGACTTACGTAGCGAATGAAATATTGAGTGGTAAAACGACTGGTCTCTACAAGCATAGTGTATTTATCATACAATAGGGCGGTGGCCGTAGCAACCACCCTTTGAAGTGGCGCAGGCGCGGTCGCTAAAAATGTCTCCGGAAGCAGTGTAACAACGGATTTAGTGGGCTTTGACCCTGCTCGGAGGTCCACACTCACCAAACATATGAGCGCATATTTCCTCTCCTTTTAGTTAATCTGATGCATCGGCAGCTCCATTTGAAAGAATACTTGGTATTCGCACGCACTACTAGAATGACGACGCTAGATTTTAGTAAGAAATTGACTGCCACTGGTATGGACCACTGTGGTTCTTTCTCTGTATTAAATAATTAGCGGGCCAAACAGTCTTTCGGGTCATTGAAAAAGCTGATTATTTCCTTGCCACTTGCCCTTGTTACCTTCATATTTTGACCAAGATGTGACTTCAGCAGACAAGATGTCCCAACCTCGCATTGCGTGTGATAATACGATCGAGCACCGTTCCTTCGTTGATACTTTGCCGCCACCCGGTTAATGAATTAACCTTGCTTTGAGGCACTGCTTATGACTACTGAAAAATACTGTTAAAAAATAAATTCCTATATTAGAGACCCCCCTCTAAGAGACTCCACTTGAGGATTGTGACAGGTGCTCAATCATATCTTGCCACATAGATTTATAATTAACATAATAACGAGCAGACAAAGTGAAGTTGACGTTAGGGATGATTTCAACAAGAAAAATTCCAAATAGAAAAGCACACGAAAAAACTCAAGAGAAAAAAAAATCAAAAAAAAATAAAATCATCCTAACTTCGCCTGCTTCTAAGGGGACGCCACTAGACTATTCTCTTATGACGTTGGAAACGACAATTTATTTCAGGGATTCCTTGACAACTTGGACTCGCTGCATTATTTCATTGATCACGTCGTATACAAAGCGAATTTGCGCGGACCATCGTTCCGCTGTGAGGACAACCCGGACGGCAGCATCACTTTGCATTACTACACTGGGAGACCTGGACTGTACCCAATTGTTAAAGGTACTGCTATGGTAGGGTAAAACGACAGAATGGTGATCAATTACATACGTGCGCGTGATATTTTAATCCGTCCTAAACATTGTGTGGAGTGATGCGTACTTTTCGTTTTCGAAATATTTGTTTAGTGTGGCTATTAGTTTATCCAAGAAAACATTAGTTTTGCAAGTCCTGGTGAAGAGATATCGAATACGAATGCGCGTCGTGTGCAGACCACCCACCGCAAGTGACGACGGCCTCCAGTTAAATCTGACTGCTCGTGGTTCATAGTGATTTTGACAGATAACATTAACATTTTGTGGAGTTGTCGTCACTTGTGGTGTTTGATCTGCGGTTGATGCACGTCTTTAATTGTAGTTTCTACCTAACAGTCTCTTGCTTGCAAAGTAACACTCCTTGTGCGGCCAGAGTTGGATTGAGAGCTCAGCTATACCTTTGAAGCTTGCAGTTTCTCTAGGAGCCGTCCATAAAGCTGCAGAGCATTGGCAAGATAAAAGATGTTTGAACTAAACCCGTACGAGAATGAGAACAGACGACCAACACACGATGGGTGAGGATAATCATTAAGAAGAGGGATGGCCAAAAAGATGGCCTAAGCTTGAACAAGAGCGCATGCTACCAGACTTCCGAAAATAAGTACAAGTGATAGCGAACATAAAGCACAGAACTGGATGTTATCGCATATCAAACGAGCAGTTTCTTACAGTTCAAGTCAAGCAAGATCGGAAGGAAATAGAGGAAGATACGGGATTTCTTACAATTAGAGGTACGGCGATCCTGAGACGCGCTCAGGTTTCACAAATAAAAGTTCCCTTTCATTGCCTTAAAACCCCGAGAATCGCCTTTGACCTCTTATACCACCTCTCGAAAACATTCGTAATTGGAGAATACCCACAACGGTTGCAGATGAATTTGTTTGAGTAATCGCAAACCCTGCAAGGAGCAGTGAAAGTTCTACGGTGGATTGAAAACGGTAAAATGCCATGCCACAGCTATTTTAGCCTTTTATGCAGTCGGTCATGAAGCAGTCTGCATGTGGAAGGTGACCCAATAGGAAACTTCAATCCACTAGGAAAAAGTTTGAGCAGTGACATCAAATTCCGCAAAACATCATGATCAAGAGAAAATGCTTTGGATGTACATAGAGAGGTTTAACTCAACTCTCTTACATATAAAACATCATAATTCTTTGTGTAAGCATTTAGCGAATACAATATCTGACTACTCCAACGAAAGGGTAGCAAATTGCTTTGTTCGTACACACAACAGTGTTATTTTTGAAAAATAATATGTTCTGTTAAGGAGTTCTGAAGGAGGCAGCTAAGCGAGTTTTTGAGATAGATGTTGCTCTAACGATCACTGGCCGCACTCAACGAAGCGTTCAAATGGCAACAGGCGAACGTATAGAGGAGCACGTCATATTCTTGGTCAAGGTTCGGTTTCATGGAGCTTTCTTGTGACCCTTTCAAGACTAAGCTGTTCGTAACAAATCTCTGTTCGAAGGGCGCCCAGATAGCCCTATATCTACAAGGTGTGGCATAAGTACATACACATGTACACTGGCGTGCAAAAATTCAAGGAAAAGATGGATAAAGTGACATTAGTTAAGTTAACAATCAAATGGAATTGGGTGGAATTTTACGAGCACGATGTCAAATGACTTCCAGCCATGCACAGTCACTGGACCTCATGTATAATGTTGTCTGCTACAGTCTGGAGCCAAAAGGGAGTGGACAAGAAACGAAGGGTTTAGTGGAAAAAGGGCAAGAGGAAAAGTATTGCTTCGGAAGGAATGGCTTGCGATGTAGTGGTGTTCTTGAATACAGCAAGCCTCAGAGACAATACGAGGGTGACTTCACTCGAGGAGGAATCCCTGGGAAACTGGAAGAAGGTTACGAAAGTGGTCCAGAAGTTTGGTTTGCTCACAGCATTGTCTTGGTCTTGGAGAGCAACCGCAGCCACTGCTGCCCGTAAAAAGGTGCTGATGGTGAGTGGTAAAGGGGGCTTTTCTTCGAAATTTTTTATAATTATTTTTCGGTTTTTGCACCGCCTCATAATATAAGGTCACCCTGAGGAAAAGAATAATTACCGAGGCCCAGCCACTAGCGGGCTATACTACCCGTAGTTACCCACACTTTTTCGATGCAGTTCAATTTTTGATTTGGTTAAAATTTGTCACAAGTCAGTCAAAGAGTAATTTGACTTCTGAACACGATGGTCGCACTCTCTCGGCGAGGAAACACCTCGTTAGGGCGTTACGGAGTGGAGTAGCACAACGCAAATGTTGGAATACTCAAGGGAAAATTCATCTCAAAACGAAAACCTACCCCCATTAACGTGCTATGAAAAATGCAAAGAAATTGGGTGAGCAGATCCGATCTCCTTTCGTCGATCCTGCAAATCAACCTCTTGAATCAGCCCATCACGGCAATAGCGGGATGAAACCCTTCGGTATTTTATTCACATCAACGTTAAGCAGGTTGTAAGGAAGTGCGTTTGGAGACGCATCAGGTGGTATACGGCTAATTTCGATAGGCCCCTTCGAACTACCACCCTTCCCTTGTTGGTCACGTGCCACCGCACACGCCGTTCCTCTTCATCCAAACCCGTGTAAACGCAGTAGGTTGCAGATTTCAATCCTGACCTGGTTTTGCTTTGTGATATGAGTGACACACATTTACTGACATTTGATTATTCCATCATGCTAAGATTCGTTTTTGATGACATAATGTCCTTGTCCTTATAATTTTGGTCTACCATGTAGTTCAATTATATTGTACTCTTTAACATCTTATATTCCAGACGGTCAATCCGGACGGGTCCGGTATCGAGTCACTTGGGAGTGTACCAAATCGCCCGACACAGAGCAATGATTTCAAGATTCGTCTGACAAACGAGGATTTTATCACAACATTTCCGTACCATTTTGTGGTGGACCAGGACTGCAAACTTGTGCAGGCTGGCAGAGAACTTTAGTATGAAATGTTACTCAATCAAAACTGCTTCCTCAATTTTTTAAATTGCATCCGCATTTAGCAATTATGTACCACGTGATCTTCTGGTCCCTGGCACACCGCTCATTCGAATATTCGAAATCAATCGACCACAGATTCCTCTCGATTTCGATTCAATTTGCAACTTCATAAACGCTGTTTTCGTTTTGCAAGTGAAGACGACTCCAATGGAATTTCAAAGAAGTGTTAGCAAACGTAACAGTCAAGTAATGGAGGGGTTAGTTTATGCAGTAATTTACAAAGAAGTTTTTTTTAATAATACATGGAAATGGAAGAACCGTTCTCAGCCATTTTTCATATTTTTATTTTAACCCTTTGACTACCGATTACAGGTGAGATGTATTCAATAGATTGTTCAAGACGTTTTCAAAGAGTTATTGGTCTATGAAAAAGATTCTTGGAAAACTACCTTAACTATTGCAGAGGTGGTACTGATAGTGACAGCAGCACTGATCTTATGACGCAGAGTCAACATTTGAAGCTCAAAGGCCAAATGATGTTGCTGTCGACAGGTGAAAGATATCTCTTTATATTCAGTATACAGCCTACGCCTCCAAGCCCGTGGGTATTCGAAAACCTCAAGTGTAAACCATTTCGCAGCGAAGCAAACACGACTACTTTAGTCATCGAAGATCCTCGAAGAAATGAACGGATGGGCTTACAAGATTATAAGTTAAGGAACATAGGATGTATACCGTAACCCACGTTTGCGTCAGAGCGCGGTTGCAGGCTTCCCAGTGCACAATGTCAGCACTAGTCTGAGAGCGGTCAACGACGCCGCCCCTGGTGTTCAGGGCAGCGACCCAAAAATGGAGCGACGTCGCAGCGTCCGCCTCGCTGCTTGCGCGAGGAAGCCGAGCACCGTCGCGGCGTTCGCCTCGCTTGCACGACGAGGCTGAACGCTGCGCGCACTCCGCGCGCGAGCATAGGGAGGTGATCCCCGGGGTGCCGCCGCATCCGACGTGAGGCGACAGCCGGATGTGTTGCGTCCTCCACCCTCTATATAAAACGCCGCTTAGTACTCTGCGCGGGCCTGCTCGACGCACTCTCTCTCCGTTGGGAGGGCGCAGAGAAAACAAGAAAATCGATGACACGTGTGATTGCGCGCCCCAGTGCAACGTCGAGAAGGTTACGGTATACACCCTATGTTCCTGAACTTATAATCTTGTGATGGGCTTCAGGGGGAGGTTAAAGGTCAAAAGGGTAAACTATTTGCCGTTGATCAATCTCTTTTTGGGATGCGGCATTGCCGTTGATCAATCTCTTTTTGGGATGCGGCACGCATGCTGCTTCCATTCGTACCTAAGCCGTTGTACAAGTCAGTGGTTCTATCCTCCCAGACATGCCTGGTACTAATTGACCAACCCCGGAGGGATAGAAGGCTTTAGAGGAGATGAATTCTGGGTCTCTCAGGTCCCACGACAGATCATATCGTTGACGTTCATCCAGTGACGCTTGCTTTCAATGTTTCTCCATGATGCATATGCAGTGCAGATATCAGACAGCAATCGCTTGAAACGACGGAATTGTTCCGTTGCCTCAATAATTGTATAATGACAGCGAATTCAGGTCGTCATGTAATATACTTGTGTTCACCATATGTCACGTCCATTCCTGAACTCCTACAATTTGGTATGCGACTCACAGCCATGCCCTTGCACGACGCCACAAGAGATTTGATCCTTCTCAACCAACAACGCCTAAGTGATGTGGAGATGAAGTGCGAAAGCTAGTCTAGTTTAGCGATTTATTTACAGTGCCAAAAGATGTCATTAGTAATGGATACCTTCGGCTGAAAACAGTGCCACTCACTTATTGAATATGTTTTCTCAAAAATAGAAATAGACTTTTCTCAGCCTACAGTTGGAAGCTTTTAACGAGCAGCTGGAATTGATGGCCAAAGATCTCGAAGTGGAGAAAGCTAAAACAGACGCATTGTTGAGTGAGATGCTTCCAGCATCAGTAGCCCATCAGCTCAAGAGTGGCCTGAATGTGGATGCTCGTGAGTTGATAACAAACCAGAAAAAGGTATAACCTTAACTAAAGGGAATTCGATCTTAAGGAGAATACGAGTCAGCCACAGTGATGTTTTCCGATGTGCCTTCGTTTCAACAAATTGTACCCATCTGCCAGCCGAAAGACGTAGTTCATCTTTTGAATAACCTCTTCACACGATTTGATCGTTTAGTTGTGCTTCAAAAAGTAGGTGATTCCTGTATTATTCTCTTCAGATTGATTTTGATGGAAATGATTTTATATTCAGGCCTACAAAGTGGAGACTGTGGGAGATAGCTACATGTCTGTTAGTGGAATACCTGACGCCGCCGAAGACCACTGTGAAGTCATCTGTCATTTGGCACTTGGTCAGTACTTGTATCAAACTGATCGTAGTGGTAACGAAAGAAAAAGAAAGCGTAAGGCGTCGAGGTCAGAAAAGCAGCGTCAACGTAGCAATACTGTTTATTATTATATATCTACTGTGCTTTTAGCACATGAAGGATTACAACTCAAAGCAACAGTCCTAGCAGTTTTTTCACCTTCGACACTAATGGCGTGGAACGTTGCTCTAGCTCTAGTCAAGAGCATAAGAAGTGTGACCGAACAGAAAACTCACATTGGAAAGCCACTGGAAAGGAGCTGAACGGCTTCAAAATGGGCGTGGCTGGACTTCGGCCGAGGGGAGTACAGCCACCTGAGCAACCACGCCCACTTCGAAGCCCCTAACATACGAAAAATAACGAAAACAAGACTTAGTAATGGAAAGAGCCCTGCGATGCAAAAAAAAGAATAACAAACACAGAAAGTCCAAAATGGTGATAACCTGTATGAGGTAGCAAGAAAGACGACAAAACATCTACACCGAAAATGCCTCAACAATGTTCTTGTATTGTTTCGTGCGCAATATGACCCATAAAATAATAGGATATCATCATATGTATTCCACAATACACCGGTGCGATGTTTGACCCATGGTCAACCATCGTTCGGGTAGACCCCGGCGCAGGAGAAGAGTCGTATTTGCGATTTCCGAAAGCGGATCTCATTTGGTGGAGTTCGCATGCTTCTTTTCTTTCTCACCACCGGCACCATTTAGGAAGTGGAAGAATTCTACTGATTCAAATTTTTTCACAATTTGATGGTTACTTGGGCAACGGACTTTTGGTGCGTCCGGGCTCCCACGAGGCGAATCGTTCGGCGGGCTGCGCGGCGATCCGGACGAGGCAAGTCTTCGCGGGCTCCTGCAGTGGGATTCAACACGTTAGAAAGTGTGCAGATCGAAGATGGAATCCACAAGGTGCTGCTTTGACAAAAGCTTCCCACAGGAGGAGATTGGTGAAATGCGGCGGTGTCAGTGAGAAGATTAAAGCGGAAGGTGATGAAAGCGGGGAATTTCATAGAAATGTCACTATTATGTGTTAGGTTTTTATGCCTTTCGAGGTTGGTCGGTGGAACTTTCATTAAAGAGGCCAAACGTTTCGACTTGATCGTCGTCTTCGGAGGCCTGAATGTGGTTCAAAGTTTAAATTTTCACACTAATCGACCAAACGCCTCGACTTCTCCAGCGGCTCAGACATCATGCTAAGAACCACCAAGATCCCGAACAATAAAATAAACTCACCCTGGCTCCACCGTTTGTGCGGAGAAATCCGCTACCACACTTTAGCGTTGAATAGTAGCAAGTAAGACATACCATGTGGTCTCCTGATATTAGTGAAAGAAGGAGACGCACGTAACGCTTCATGTCATTCTACAGCTCGCAGTGTGGCATAAACAGTGAAAGGTCACTGGTTATTGACGGGCGCTCGTCTCGGGTGTTCATCGCCGGATTTCTTGCGCCAGAATGCTTCCAAGACCTTCCTAGCGCAAATTTCCGTCTCATGCGCCAAGACCGTGCACATAATTTCGAAATCAAGCCATCATGCTTTTCGATCCCAAGGGCTGCTGATAGACTACCGCGCTTCATGCAGGCCAGATGTTCTTTGATACGAATGGCTAGAACCCTTCCTGCTTCTCCAATATAGGTTGCGTTGCAAGCCTGACACTCAATCTGATAAATCACTCCCCTATGCCCCTATCCCATCTCCTATCTCACCGTGTGGACAGACAACGCAACTCTCTGACACGCACTGCCCTCCATAGAACCTGTTCCGAACCAGTTGCCGTCCTATGTTCTCGTTAGGGATATTCACTAACTAGACGTCGTTCTGCAACTGTGCTCTTCTGATGCTTCGTTGAGTCGCAGCACTCACTCTGTCAGATAAAAACGGTAAAGTTAAGGGCAACTGATTATGGCGCGGTACCGCTCTTGGGGCAATGTGCCGTCTCTGTGATCTTTGTACCGAATAACCCTCTGATAGGGCTATTTGGTAGCCAAATTTCGTGATTCATGTTTCTCTTCGTCGGCTGTGCTCACCTCATCGCTATTTTGAACATGTTGCGAACAACAGCTCGTTTAACGGCAATAGGATGAGCCGAAGTAGCATGAATTAGAATGTTTTTGGAACTACTTTTTCGGTATCACCTTACACGAACAATGCCACTGGATAGCTTGACCTGTGTGTTGAAGTAGGGCAACCAACCGTCGTGTGGTACTTCACGGGTGAGTTTAATGTACTGTGACTGCTCATTCATTAATCGAAAACACTCGTCCATTTCGGACTGTGTTGATGTTATAACGAAACAGTCGTCTGTTTATCTGCAGTACATTAAAGGGAAACGCTCGAGCACCGGCTGTTCTACTTGCTGTTTATCCATGAAACAAACAGCAAGTACTGGTGTCAAGCGCTGACCCATGGCTAGACCTCTGATTTGAGAGCAGTATGCCCCTGCCCACTTGAAGATATTGCAGCTCAAACATTCCTTGATAGGAGTCATTATGCATGCTTGGCCAAGTCCAAATGTTTGTATACTATGTATGTGCCTATCAAGCATTTCTGATAATGCTTGTAAGGCATGGTCGCCTTGGACATTGGTGTAAAGCGAGGTGACACCGAATGACTTCATCACTGCACTTCTTCAATATTGGACGTGTGCAGGGATTCAAGGAACTTGTTGGTGTTGTGCAGGTCCGAGGGAACCACGGGCAATAGTTGGCTCACAATATTGTTCAAGAGCCATGGTATTCTATCGGATGGTCCCCCCCCCCACACAAGTAATGATAGGGCGGATTTTACACGTATCAGCTGATATGGACAGCATATCATAAGGAGCGAGTTTGTGGGTCTTCAAAAGGCCATAGAAGACTGGACAACTAGGATTGTCCACTTTGGGGCTGCAAATGAACTTTTCGTCAAGTTCTGCAGATTTCGCTGTGCAAACTTTGAGACTGCCACTATTATCATATTATAAATATGAATAAGAAGCACTAAAAATGGAGACTTTATCTAATGAAATGTTATTTATTGTCAATTCTATATCTTTGCTAATCGTGGCGTTCTTGTCCTTGGGGAGAACTTTCAAAACAGGCTAATGGAACGTGACACTAGAACTACAGGGTGGTCCAAAATTATGAGGACCGCGTGCGCTCGCAGTCATATCCACTTTTTTCCGTACAGCTCCATTTTCGTCTCATTTTCTGTGCACTATGTGAGAGGGTACATTGCCATGCTTCCTAATGAAACCAAATTTCATGAAGTTCTCAAGACTAGTGAGACATCTACTTCACTTAGAGTCAGCCCTCAAATTGAACTCACCAGGGGCTCTGGCACGTTACATCTAGCAGCAGTTTAACCTATCAGGGAAGCCTTTATGAACAACAGTTCAACTCTTCAATAAGTTTGGAACCACCACAGATGAAAAATTCGGGGACTGTAAAATTACACTAACAAGCAGGATAATTATCAGATGCAGAAACTAGGTCTCCCCTTGTCGACTTTCGTACACCCAATATGGAAAACTGATGTGAAAACTCAGCCAAACACTCTAAAGAATCCAAATCTTTACGGGATAGAAAGTCGCACGAGTAGTTTACTTGGGACCTCTTACAGGACCGAGCACCCAAGAATAAAGCAAAAATTCTCTAAAAGCGATTTTTCGAGTTCGTTGCTTTCAAAGAATTGTCACAATGGAACCTTCCTTCTGATAGCTCTAGATTTCTGTATTCCACACCCTGGATGGAAACGCAAATGACCACAAAGCTTTGATTCCCTGAAGAAGGCAGAGCAGAAGGCCTGGAAACATTTGGACACGCCTCAGTTGCGTGCAGGCGCACGCGCCATCCCCTTCATCTGAAGGCTCGTGTGAACGGGGCAGGTGGCAGATCTCAATTCTATTTTGGAGTTTGACGGAAGAGTTAGAAGTACTTCCCTGAAGTTGGTTTGTTCCATCAAGCTACTATGCGTTTTTGAAGACACAATGTCTTGGTCCTCATAATTTTGGACCACCCTGTAAGCTTATGAGAAGGGAAATACGCTCGGGTAAGCAGAAATTGCTCAAATCCTCCATGAGAAACTCTTCCCCTCAGGCTTATTCCCAAACACAATAATTGGTTGAATCTCCTCTCATGGGATCCCCACCCCCTTAACAATAAGCGCCAGCAATCTAAGCGCCCTGATTGCTATAACAGCCTTCTGCTATTCCTTCTCTTCTCTTTCGATCGCTGCCTTTGAAAATCCGAAATGTAATTCGAATCGTAGAGTCTTGTGGATTCTATCTGCGATCTGCACACGTTCCGATGTGTTGGATTCCACCGCAGAAGCCCGCGAAGACTTGCCTCGTCCGAATCGCCGCGCAGCCCGCCGCGCAATTCGCCGCGTGCAACCCCGGAGCACCAAAAGTCCCGCAACCTGGTCACTTTCATAAAAAGGCGTTCCTGGTCGGTCGCTGGTCGTTCACCTTATTAACCAAACCCTCGGGTCGTTGTTCCCGTTATGAGATTTGTCAGCAGAAATTTTTATGGGAAACTGATTTGAAACTTTTCACTGCGGCTGACAGCTCAACACGTTGACGGGACAACAAGGCAGGCGTGATTTTGCGAGTACGGCTGCCTCACCTCTCTTTCGTCAATTTTGAGTTGTATCTAAGCAAAGCATGAATGATGCAAACCATTTCAGCCGTTCAGTGCGTAGAATTAGTCGTGGATGTAATGGTGAAATTTCATTCAAAAAAGTGCAATGGTAAGGAGAAGAAAAGTTTACACTTTACTCTGTAAAGACAAGACTATCGAACGTATTATTTTTGACGTGGTTTTTCTAGAAAACATACATTTTGCCTATACATAGGTTTGCATTAAATGTGTAATTATCCTACTTCCTTCTATATATTTACACGGTTGTAAGAATAAGAAGAAAATGAGGAATGAAGCAAGTAACATTTAGTGGCCCCAGAGAACCTCTGCTAGACCGAATCACAGGGGGGAGGAATATGGAGCAAAAAAAAAGAGTCACTCTGCCTATGGCGGTCATCACCAAACTTTTCGTCACGGTG